CTGAACACTGGGGTCCCCCAGGGGTGTGTGCTTAGTCCATTGCTCTACTCCCTCTACACCCACGACTGTAAGGCCAAACACAACAACAACTCCACCATCAAGTTTGCCGATGACACCACAGTTGTAGGTCTGATCACAGACAATGATGAGAGGGCCTACAGGGAGGAAGTCAATCTCCTTACAACGTGGTGTGAAGACAACAACCTCACCCTCAACGTCAACAAAACCAAGGAGCTGATCGTTGATTTCAGGAAACTGAGAAGCGGACATGCCCCTATCCACATCAACAGGACTGAAGTGGAAAGGGTCAGTAAATTCCTTGGCGTCCATATCACCGAGGACCTCATGGTCTCTCAACACCACCTGTCTGATCAAGAAAGCGCAACAGCACCTGTACTTCCTAAGACGGTTGAAGAAGGCTAAGATATGTCCCCAGATCCTCACTAACTTTTACAGATGCACTACAGAAAGCACACTGACAGGCTGCATCAGAGTGTGGTGTGGCAATTGCAGTGCTGCTGACCGCAAAGCCCTACAGCGGGTGGTGAAAACTGCCCAGTCCGTCACTGGGGTTACCCTCCCATCTATCCAGGACATTTATGACAGACGGTGCCTGAGGAAAGCTCTCAGCATCATCAAAGACCCCACACACCCCAGCTACAGACTTTATGATCTGCTACCATCTGGAAAACAGTACCAGAGCATTCTGGGCCAGACTCCCAGACTCAGAGACGGTGTTTACCCACACACTATCAAACTATTAAACTCCCAGCCTCTCTCACCTACGATCTGAACCCTCACAGTGCCTTGTATCTTTATCAAAACTCCAACACGCATTGAAATCTACCTCTACCTCACATGTCAAGAAGCATATTCCACATCATTTTTCTATCCTTTATTTCATTCTGTTGATGTATGATTTTGCACATCTGATGTTGTTTTGCACATTACCTGTTACCTGTTGTCATTTTACACACTGCCTGTTGTCTCTGTCTTTCCTTTCTTATACAATTGTATTGTTGTTTTTTGTACTACTTATCGTCTGACAGCAGCTAAATAGCATTTCGTTATACCACATACCTGTATATGAGAATAATGACAATAAACTTGAAATTTAATTTGAATACTCCATGTAAACTGATGCCCTTCATTACAACGGTCTTATCAACATTATTCTTAACCCGGTCGGATTAATTGAAACTGGGTTTTTAACTGAAGGAATAATAGACTCGTTTGTTCAGTTCACTTTCTATTGGTCGCCGCTGAAATTAACCATAGGATTCAAATAGCCGTGTAACATGAAAAAATGAAGAAATTGCGATTTAGAATCTCAGATTATGAAGTCGCAATTGCGAGATATGAAGTCGTAATTCTGAGATACAAGGTCACAATTGCGAGATACCATAGCGCGGTTTTTTTTTTTGCTCGCTGGCGGAAAGGGGCTTCCATATTTAACCAGAGGGTCTGCGGTCGAAGAGGGAAGGAGATATTCATTTCCCATTTTGTCCAGAGATGTTGCCAGGGTGCCGGAGGAGCCGCAGCCTGACCACACATGGGTCTCTTTCCGCCCGAGTCTCCCCCACGTCACGGAGACGCAAAGGCGCGGGTGGGCAGAGGGCAGAGAGGATACTAGGAGCTCCCGGCGGGATTGACGCGCTCCTCCGCAGGTATAAAGAGAAAAGCCGGCAGCGCTCCGGCTCAGACGCCGCGGAAGCCCACAGCAGCGCCGCCATGAGCCGAAGCGTAGCCGTGAGCAGGACCTTCAGCGCCGGGCACGGCGCGCCGGGAGCGCCACAGGAGCCGGCCCGGAGACACAGCAGCTGCGGGCCCCGAGCGCAGGGGTGGCAGGGCTCCGCGAGCAGCCCTCCCGGCTCGGCAGGCAGGAGGAGGAGGGAAAGCGTCTTCACCTTCGTGATGACGCCGAGCAGCATCCC